GGTGTATGATGAGTGGTGTATGATGAGTGGTGTATGATGAGTGGTGTCTGAAGTGGTGTATGATGAGCGGTGTATGATGAGTGATGTAAATGTTCGTAACACGGAAGGTCCTTGAGCTAATGAATCATAATCATTGGCCTCAGGAGCTAAGTAAAGGAAGATTCCATGAGCAGTTTTTTCCAGTGGAAAAAACTTTTCACAATTGAGAACCCAAACACAAATCTATTATTGAGGATCAGGTGCCTTCCTGGTCTACTACCTTGAAAATTTGTTTAGGAACAATGTTTTATACAGGATTTAATTGGGAATTGGTGGTTTTGGTCAGCTGTCAGTTTTGAAGAAACCTGTCAGTTTTGAAGAAACCCTTTTTAATTAGGTTTCCAATATTAAAAAACCAGGGCCCCCAAAAAATTTAGCATTATTCAGGTCCCATTTTTCAAACATGGGGCCTGGAATAATTTTGGAAAATCTAGCATTATTGAGGAACCATTTACTAATCAGCGTCCAACATTACATGTTTCATATTTCCTGTGAATTTTCACTGAAAAATGTAAGCTGGGTTCGAAAACGTAACTTACAATTTTTGAGTCCGAAAAAATGTAACATTACAATTTTGACACACCAAATCATCGGACATTGTAACTTGCTAATTTGCAGCGATGATATTGTCACTTTTCGAGGCAGGCGCAGTACTTTGCGTGGTTTTTGAGGTAGTTAGACGCGTGGACGTGAACGTTTTCATGGCAGGCGCAGGGAATCGCGAGGAACGCTTGTTTTGTAGACTCGAAGTGTGAGTTTTTGAGGAAGTCTCGCGCAAACCGCTCGTTTTGGAGACTTGATGAATGAATTTTGGAAGAAGTCTCGTGCGAAACGCTCGTTGTGGAAACTTGGTGCGCGAACTTTGGAGGAAGTCTTGAATGAAACGCGAGTTTTGCAGACTTGGAGTGTGACTTTTGGAGGAAGTCTCGTACGAAACGCTCGTTTTGCAGACTACAAGAGTTTCCTACAAGGGAGTCCCACAAGAGTGTCCTACAAGAGTGTTTCGCAAAGTGTCCTACAAGAGTGTTCCGCAAGAGTGCCCCGCAAGAGCGAGTGTCATACAAGAGTATCCCACAAGAGTGACAAATAAAAGGACCGGATAACCCCACATGATAAGTTTTACAAATTTCAATTGTATATGAACATCACATGGGAGACGGAGTAGTGAGATGAAAAGTCAAGAACGAAGTGTGAGGAGAGAAGGTATATGAGGCGGTTGTGCTAAGACGTGTAGTATAAGTGATGATGTGATGGACGAGGATGAGAAGGAGGGGAGGGAGGAGGTGTGTGTGTGTGTGTGGTAAGATGGTGTGCGTGTGTGTGTGTGGGTGTGTGATAAAGTGTCTGATGATGTGATGAACAAGGATGAGAGGGACGAGAGAGAGAGAGAGAGAGAGAGAGAAGGAGGCGGAGTGAGTGGAGTGAGTGAGTGAGTGAGTGAGTGGAGTGAGTGAGTGGAGTGAGTGAGTGGAGGGAGGGAGGGAGTGAGCGAGTGAGTGAGTGAGTGAGTGAGTGGAGTGAGTGAGTGAGTGAGTGAGTGGAGTGAGTGAGTGAGTGGAGTGAGTGAGTGAGTGAGTGAGCGAGTGAGTGAGTGAGTGGAGTGAGTGAGTGAGTGAGTGAGTGGAGTGAGTGAGTGGAGTGAGTGAGTGAGTGAGTGAGTGAGTGAGTGGT